GGGAATGCGCTCTTTCTCTGAGTTGCTTCTCCTTTTCTCTGGGAATTGAACTCAAACTTGGCAGCAACTTAGTTGCCTTACCGCTGAGCCTCCTTACCAGTCCCGTTTCTCCAGTTTCTGAGAGGCAGCTTTGCAGGGTGGTGGTGTCATTTCTCCCCCTTAGTTCTTTGGATATATTCCTTCATTTTCCTGACTCGTGGGGTTCCTGTTATGAAATCTACAATAACTGTATTTGTATTCTTTCATGTGTGCTAGATTTCTTATCACTTCCTGCTTTCAAGATTTTCCTTTGTTTGGAGTTTTCATAGTTTGGGTTGGAATTCACTGGTGACCCCTTCTGCCCATACATGGATGTCGGCATACACACTGAGATTCTAACTTACTGATTTGAGATAGTCTTACTGAGTTGCTTAAGCATACATTGAACTATCAGCCTCCAGAGTAACTAAAATTGTAGACCTGAATCACCAGGCACGGACAATTTTATTTCTGCATAGTCTTGTGAGGCATCTTCTGAATCTATGACAGTCATGTTTCATAGATCTGTTTCTTTGGAGTTCATAGTTGGAACTGTAGTAGACTTTGCCAGTGGGAGGGGAAGGGGGGGTGGAAATGTACCTGATCCCTCTGTCCCTGGAGGGAAACAGCTCCCTCTTCTGGTCCTTATAGGTGTTGCTTAGTAGGGATAAAACACTCTTGGGACTAGTGTGTTATTCGGGAAGGGCCATCTATCTGGTGACATTGTGGACAAAATTGCGAGTCTCTGCTTAGGTGTCTTGCAGGTTGGTCGTGTGGCTACTTGTAGCCCAAGTGTTCATAATCACGCTGATTGTCACCTGCAGCTGGAGAGCGATGTAAACTGAGATCCCGGGTTAGGCAGAGCTGCTGTTCAGGATAAGTCAGTTGAGAGGCTGTGCTTAGAAATGCACACTTGACGATGACGTCTCCATCCGGGGGCAGCTCTGGGTGGTTTGCTGTGTACTGTCTGAGTTCAGACAGCTGTGACCCTGAGCTGCTGTGTAAGAGTGTGGAGCTGGGAGTCTTGCTCCCAGGCAGGGTCTTTGGAAGGCTTTTTGACTGAGGAGAGCCACTGCTTTGACTGCATGTGGCAGCATGTCTACTGAGTGTCAGTGACGTGTGGAGGCAAGTATCTCTCTGCTGGGGTAGGGCCACTGGACCGGCCTCTGAGGCTGAGCATGAAGACCAGCTCTTCAGGGACTCGGTGAAGTACTTCCTCAGTACTTCTGAAAGTGACCAGTTCAGGTTTGTGATTGGGCTACCACGTCATCTGTTGGATAAGTATTCCAGATGGCAATTCCACAGGGTGACCTCACTTACATTCTTTGATTCTGTCTTACCTAGGTGCTATAGTTAGATGAGCCTAGGATGGGCCTCCTGGGACATGTCTCAAGATGCTAGGGCATCTGGATTTTTCCTCTAGAGAGTTGTGACCCAGGAACATCCTCTCCTTATGGCCTTGTTAAGTTTAAAGGAAGGGATACACTGAAGTAGTTCTCCAAATATTGGGGTCTGTGAGATTGCCAGTTGAAATTTTCCTGGTGAAGGTTCCTGCTGATGTCAGCACCTCTTAGGCCCACCCTTGTATGTGTTCAGCTTTTGTACATCTACCCCCGATGAAGCAGGGCGGTCTTGTCCTTCCTCCGCTCTGTATGCACAGCATGGCATGCTGGTTCTCTTACTGTTTATGCGTTGCTTTTGAGTGTATGGTTCATGTTCTTTTCAGCTCATAGTTTAAGTCAAGCTGGCCTGCCGTCATGCCAGCGTGTTTAAGAACAGTTTCACAGCCCTGAAAAGAAAACATGTTCATCTGTTTCATCAGCCCGGGCCAGCTGTTAATCTTCTTTGTGTGCCCACAGTTTTCCCTTTGGTATATTTCTTATCAGTGCAGTTGCACGATGCACGGTCCTTTTGCATTGTGATTTCTTTCATGTAACATGTCCTCAAGATTCATCTGTCTTCAACATTTAGATGAAATATCTCTTGCTGAGTTTTTGTTTGGCTTGGTTTTGGTTTGTTTGGTATCTTTTCCTTCCTTTTTTCCCCAACAAGATTTCATTATGTAGCCCTAGCTGTCCTGGAACTCTGTAGACTAAGATGACCTCTAACTCACAGAGAGCCACCTGCCTCTGCCTCCAAAATCCTGGGCTTAAAAGTAGTGTGTAGGTCAGAGGTCAAAGTCCGGCAACTTTCTCTGTCACACTTGGTGTTTTTAAAGACACAGCCTGGAGCTCACTAGCCTGACTGTCGGTTGAGACCCAGGGTCCTCCTCATCCCCAGCCTTGGGATTTCGGGTATGTGTTGCCATACTTGTCCCTCCTCCCCATTTGGGTATTGGGTCTTTGGGCCTTTTGCTTGCTGAGTAAGCCATCTTCAGCCCGTCTTTGCTTTTTTATGCCTATTTAATTCCCAACTGTCCAAGCATCCCAGTGTTCAGCTGACAGATTTGACTGATTCCTTCTCTTCTATTACAGTTTTCACATACTGTTTAAAATATCTTAGGCAGCTGGAGAGACGGCTCAGTGGTTAAGAGACTGGCTGCTCTTGCAGAGGATTTGAATTTGATTCCCAGCACCCACATGATGGTTCTCAGCTGTCCTTGGTTCCAATTCTAAGGAAGCCGATGCCCTTTTCTGACCCCTGCATGTACAAGGCATGCAAATGGTGCACAGACATACATGCAGGCAAAATATCCACACACTTAAAATCTTAGGCAAAATGGCATTCTTACAATGAGCAACTCTGAGTGCTCAGCCTTGCCCCAGCACTGAGGGAGAGGCCAGGAGGAGTCCCATTGGAAAGATTTGACTAGTGTGGCCCAGTGCTTCTAGAATGATCACAGGTTGAGCTTTCCTCAGAGGGGTCCCACTCCACCTCCCAGTCTCCAGTAGGTATAGAAAGGTTCTCTTGCATGAAAGGACACTGGTCACAGTTGTTTACAAATCTACTATTAGGTATATGAATAGTTAAGGTAAGGATGATGTGTCATATTGTGTAAGGACCCCTTTGCTCATAAACTGACTTACAGTGCACATAACAAACTGTGTTCACACACAATTCTTCCTGGTTTTCTGCTTCAGATCAGCCTGCTGGGAGGAGAGGGCAAGCTGTTGCATCTTCGTATTCCTTTGTGCTAGACAGGTGTACCACTTTGCCTCATTGAGTGTTTATCAGTTGGGTTTCAGGATGTTTCTAAGCATTTTGTAGTCTATGCAAACCAAATTTGGCTACAGTCTCCAAAAGCCTAGACTCAGATACTCTTTGGTAAAGCTTGTGGGTGATTATTTAAGAACAGATCGTTGACATTTGGGTTTGCCGAAGTGGAGGAGAGCAGTTTGGTCTCTGGTCCTGTGCTGTATCTATAAAACTCTTTCTTAAGGGTTTGAAGAATGTGGGATTATGCAGATACTTTGTTCTTAAATCGTTAAGCTTAATAAAAGTTGAAATTTCCATTAACAAACATTAAAGTTAAATTAGGCAAAAATGCATATTAGTTTTTAATGAGATTTTCTTATTACTTTCAGTGTTAAGCTGTTTCTTTTTACTTGTAAGTGTTAAATATATGACTGCCTTCATAACGTTGGTCAGATTTTATATACCATTGATTTGTCTTAATAGTTGACCACATTTAAGTTGTCACTGAATTTTTAATGGATAGAGAATTGTGCTGGCTAGTTTTTGTCAACTTAACACAAGCTAGAGGTACTGGAGCACATGGAGCCTCAGCTGAGGAAAATGTCTCAGTAAGATCAGTCTATAGGCAAGCCTGTAGGGCATTTTCTTAATTAGTGATTGATGGGAGCGGGCCTAGTCCACTGTGGATGGGACCAGCCCTGGTAGGTGGTCTTGGCTCCTGTAAGGAAGCAGGATGAGCAAGCCCCATGGTGTGCAAGCCAGTAAGAGCGACTTCGTGGCCTCTGCATCAGCTCCTGCCTCCAGGTTCCTGCCGGAATGTTCAGTGATGGACTCTGATGTGGCGTGTAAGCAAAATAAAGCCTTTCTTCCCCAGCTGGATTTTGGTCGTAGTGTTTCATCACAGCAGTAGTATCCCTCACTAAGAAAAGAATATTTTATTTTCGGGTTTTTTTTTTTTTTTTTTTTAGATCAAACCTAGGGCTTGGTTCATTTAAGACAAAGACTCTACCACTGAGCTACATCCTCAGCCTGGATTTTTAATTGCTTGTAATTGAAACATGACCTTCAATTCTAACTACGGTTATTATCCTCCTGATTTGAGTTCTCAGTATCAATATCATGCTGCTTTTTATTATATAAGTTTATTGAATATAGTCTCTAAGGTTTCTTCCACCCCACCCCTCTTTTAATAAGAGAGAGAGCTCAGGGGAGCAACACAGGCTGAACAGGCAGGTAGCTGCAAGGTAAACCTTGAGCCAGGTTTTGTTTCATGGTTCTGAGCACTGGAGTCTTTGCCTGCAGCAGCCCACTTCTGCTGCTGTGCACGTTCACTGCTTCAGAGTTTGGATTTTCAGGAGAAATAGGAATTGCTTCATGTTCTAATAAGTTGAGCATCAGTGATTGAAAATAATAAAACGTATACATTTGCTTACTGTAATAGCTTGTACCTAAGGACATTTACAGGCGCGGTTTCATAGAACAAGTGTCTAAAAAGTTAAAATGACATTTTCAGTGTGTGATTCATCATTCGTGCCACTTTGAGTTTGGCTCTAAAAGTGAAATAAGGGACTGGAAAGATGGCTCAGCAGCTAAGAGCACCGGCTGCTCTTCTTGAGGACCTGAGTTCAGTTCCCAGCACCCACACCATGGCTTACAAACATTTGTAATACCAGTTCCAGGGGATCTGATGCCCTCTTCTGGCCTCCAAGGGCAACACACACACCACACGTGTACATGTGTACGCTAGGTGCACACACATACTATGCAGACCAACACACACATAAAATAAAAATCTTTTTTTTTTGTGAAGTGAAATAAAAACGATAATGTTTTTCTCTCTTTCCCAGACAGATCTTGATTATGTTAACAGCGTTATAGCGAACCTGGAGAAAGAGTAAGTTTTCCAAAGCACAGAAATGGAAATATTTTCATTGCTATTCTCTATGGCTCCTTTCTCATTCACTTCTCTGTTCACCCATGTCAGCAGCCCTTTATATTCTCATTAAGTAGCTGCATATAAACCCCAGTGTCTGATGGGTAAACTGCTAACTCCACTGTGGGAAAAACTGAGTAGCATCTGCATAGAACACCACCAGCTAGTTGTCTTTACTCTTGGAAGAGGAGAGAGAGAGTCAGAGTTGTACAGAACTGTTTGAATCCCCACCCTCTACTCAACAGGCAAATTTGTTGTCAGGACAGGTGTTAAAACTGAGCCATCATATCCAAGCATGTTTTTCTGTCCTGCCAAGATTGGGCCCCGGTTTACTGTGGGCAGGGGACAGATGCGGAGCTTGGGAGTTTCAGGCATTGGCATGTTTATAGTATTCACTTGCAAGTTTTAAAGTTAGACCCGACAGGTTTCTTCTGTGGATTTTATATGGTTTTACTCCTAAAGGGCACATTTTCTACTCTACAAGAAAGGCTTAGGAAGTTGGAGAGAGAGCCCAGTGGCTAAAGCTAAAGGTGTTTGCTTGTCTTGCAGATGACCTGACTTTCAGTTCCGTCCCACCCCCAAGTCCCTACCAACATACACACGTAATTAAAAATAATAAAAATCTTTTAAAAAAAGATTTAAAAGCAGGAGTTACTTGCCAACTCCATTCTTAAAATAATTTCTCCTTGTTAATCAAAATATGAAAGCTGGAGATTTAATAAAATATTGTGTGTACTTCAGAGTCAAGTTGTGTGCGTTAAAATTTTTCTGAAGTCTATCCTGGCGGTGGTGGCACACACCTTTAATCCCAGCACTCGGGAGGCAGAGGCAGGTGAATCTCTGTGAGTTCAAAGGCAGCCTGGTCTACAAGAGCTAGTTCCAGGAAAGGCTCCAACGCTGTCTCGAAAAAACAAACAAAACAAATTCTCAAATGCTACATTCTGTAGAAATAAGCTGGTAAAGATAATCCCTTTAAAGAAGCAGGGGATAATGACTGATTGGCCTTCCCATTGACCTTGGAGGTAGTTCTGCAGGCTCCTTAAATATGCAGGGAAACCAAGTCTAGAAAATGAGTGTGGTACATACCCCTGGCTTTTGCACAGAGGGCGACCTTATAGAGTATTGGGTGAAGATTTGCAAGTATGAGACAAGGAGGTGAGCGAGAAAGGAACCATAATTAGTGAAAAACTGACTCAAGAGCCTCAGAAAGGGCTTCTCAGTCCAGCAGTGCTGATAGGTGGTCTTGGTGGAAGGATGTGTAGCAGGATCCTTAGCTCTGTCCGTTAGATGTCAGAGAATCGCCACTAGTGATGATGAAAATGCCTCCAGGCCCCACTGAATGTTCCCAGGAGGGATAAAGTTGCTATCAGTTAAAAAGCCCTGGTTTGGAATGATACGGAGCCTGAAGCCTACAGATAAAGCTTCCTGAATATTGAAGAACTTTGTCTTTAAATTTGAAAACAGTCACACTTATTGATTTGTGTGTATATGCATACACATGCTGTAGTCAGAGGAACTTTTGTGGTTGTCTCTCCTACTGTGTGGGTCCCTAGGATTGAAACCAGTCCTTCAGGCTTAGGGGGCAAACACCTTTATGACTGAACCATCTTACTAACCCAGAAAAATGGAAGAACTTCGATTTTTCATGAGAAACATATTTTGGGTCAGCATACAATTGTTTGTTTGCTTTTTTTCTTCGGTCCCCCTCTTTCTGTGGGACCTTGATTTACTTAGATTTAAAAAGCAAATCACTTAAAAGACCGCAGTGCCTGCAGTTTACCCAGGATCACTCTGCTGCAGTTCACTGTTTCTCCTCTGACATTTTGCTGTCTTTAAAAAGCATGGCTGAAAAAAAAAAAAAAAGAGGAAACTCAAAACTCGTATCAGCAGAGAAATTTGTATTTCCTGCTCAGTGGTGAGCTGGCTGCATTTAGCACGCTATATCCGTCTCCTCATACTCTGCTCTCCTGCTTAGCCATGCGTTTCATGTTAAATGCAATGAGTTGAGCATTAAGACAAATGAAATCCCACAGAGCTAAAATAATACAGCTAACCTTTCTCTTGGTAGATTTTCTAAAGAACTTAGTTCTGGCCTGCTGGAAATAATCTCCCCTCCTGAAAGCTATTACCCTGACTTGACAAACCTGAAGGAGACGTTTGGAGACTCCAAGGAAAGAGTAAGGTGAGCAGGCGCTTCCTTGTTTAGAAGATGTCAGGCAGTCGTGGCGAGATATCCTAGGCCAGTCTTGTTCAGCAGGACAGAGATTCTAAGCGCTTTGCTTAGCTGAACTGAGTTTGGGGTGACTGTTCATTGTGCTCAGCATTAATTAGTGTGTTTCTGTTAGCCACTAGGAATTCACCGAAAAGATTACTATTGTAGACCTAACTGTGTTTTACAGACATTAATACATAGTATTAGTTTCTGTTTACATTGAACATGCATTATCTATCTCTGGCCATATTCACTTCACAGCTCCAGACATAGCCTCATATCTATTTCCTAAAGTAGACTTCGCCAAGCACTAATTTAAGGAGACAGTAAGATATTACTGAAACAAAAGTTTGTGGATAAGGCAGTCTGGAAAATGCTGGATTGTATAGCTCAAAAGTAGGGCATTGGCCAAGCTTCATTGGAGGAAGCCACCCTTTGACTGTCTCTCGGGGGTTTGTCTGTATGTGTTCATACGTAGTCTGAGTTTGCTAACTTTGAATCTGATTTCTCACTCTGAAACTGTTTGTTTCAGATGGAGAACCAAGCAAAACCTGGATTATTGCTTTCTAATGATGTATGCTCAGGAGAAGGGCATCTATTACATTCAGGTAAGAGCTGGGCTCTTTACAGGTATTTTTACTGTTGTTTCTTTTGTGTTGTTTGAGATTGGGCCTGAATTTGCTATGTAGACCAGATTGGTCTTGAACTCAGAAATCCACCTGCCTCTGCATCCTTGGTGCTGGGATTAAAGGCGTGTGGGCATCACAGCACGTCCTTCTCGTCCTTCTCACGAGTTAAAGAAGTGTTAAAGAGACATAGCGCAGACCTTCCTCAGTCTTTTTATTTGGTGGTTTTGACTCCTCCTTCTCCTCTTCCTCTTCTTCTTCAATAGATTTACAAAAATATAAAAAATACACTTAGCTTATAAAAGATTTGAAATGTAAAAGTCAGAATAGATTTTGTTTCATATTTATTTTGTAAAGATGACCACATTCTATGAACACATTCTACATATAGTTTATAGAAGTTTGGGTTCAGAGGTCTATGTCAGAATTTTCACGTGGGTCTGAAAGTTGGGAAGGTATTAGAAAGCATCTGTTCATTTCTGAAAGTTTCTTGTATGTGTGAATGTGTATGTGTGTGGAGTACATGTGTGGGGTACATGTGTGTGCTTACTTGTAGGGGCTAGAGGTCAATGCTTGGGCTCTACCCCAGGTAGTCTTTACCATTTTTTTTTTTTTTTTGAGGTCGAGCCTTTCACTGAACCTGGAAACTTAGCACTGGCTAAGTTTAAACTGGCTGACTAGCAAGCCCCAGAGTCTTAGCTGCCTGCTCAGTGCTGGGATTTCAGGCGGGCACTGCCACAACTGGCTTTTTGTCATGGGTGTTGGGGCTTAAACTCAGGGTAGTTCTGATTGCACCGCAAGTTGGCCTCAAACTTGGGGTTTTCCTGCTTCTGCCTTTGAGTGCTGGGGCTGAAAGCGTGCAGCACCTTGTTTTCTTTGATAGTCCACCTGGGATAAGTCTTTTACTTCCTTATGCTATTCCTGAGTGTTTTAGCCTTTTTGGCAGTCTACAGAATGAGATTAAAATACAGCTGGGCTGGGGTTATTGGTTGTTGTTAGTGGGAAGAAATGATGATGTGTTGATTTTTTTTTTATCTTGCAGCTTTGCTGAAACATTATTTGTAATAGTTTTTTTTTTTTTTTTTGTGGATTTGTATAAGGCATGTCATGGGAAAACTTCAGGACATGGGGTTGGCAGTGGCATCTTGGATGTGACCCCAGCGTCGTGATTTACAAATTGACCTGAGCACAGTGGCACAAACTCATCATCCCAGCATTAGGAGGAAAGAGGATCTCAGATCTGAGGCCAGCCTGGGCTATAATGAGTTCCAGGGGAGTACATGTATTAGGAGGGAGTGCACATAGACATTTTTGTGGGCGTCAAAAGAAGCAACATGGTGTGAAGGCAAATGCAGAGATGCAGCTTCTTTTCCTCCGGCTTTGGGTGCTTTTGACTCTTGAGCGTCTGATGGCTTCAGCTGGGATTCCCAGAGTTTTGCTGACTAGTGGGAATCCCTGCCTGTTTGTGATCCCAGAGGGAAATCTTTTGATTTCCATCTTGGGAATGCTGGCCTCACAGACTGCATTTGAAGGAATTCTCTCTTGTCAGTTTTTAGGGCGAATCTGAGAAAAATCAGTTGCATCTTTCATGCAACTTCAGTAAAGTTCTCTGATCCTGACCTTTCCACTTTGCGAGGAAGTTAAGGAAGGGTTTGTTGGTGTCATCGTCTTAGACAGCATCTTACATAGACCAGGCTGGCCCTGAGCTTAGCACGTAGCCAAGGATGATCTGGTACCTAAATCCCTCTGCTGCACACCCCAAGTGTTGGCATTATGCCATATGCTGCCATATGGTAGTTTCAGGTGGTGGGGATCAAACCCAGAGTTTCATGCGTGCTAGACAAGCACTTGACCAACCGAGCTACATGCCCAGCCCTTCAAGGCTTTTTGATTTGTTTTCATCTTTGATTCCTTTACTTGTTAGTGTCAGGCTTAAATGTATTTATCTGCAGCTCAGTCTCAGTGAGTTGCATCTTTCTAGGAACTCATTATTTCTTCTAGTTAATCCAGTTCATTAGCACACACCTAACATTGTAGAAGCCCCTCCTAATGCACAGTCCTTGCACTTCTGTGACATCAGTTTTAATGTCCTCTCGTGTCTAATTTTGAGTCCTCTCTTTTCCTGTGTTACTCAGACTAAAGTTTTGTCAGTTTTTCTGATCATTGCAGAAACATCCTTGCTTGCTTTTGTTTCCACTGTTTTTTTTTATAGTCGTGTGTTTTGATTTCCTTCTTGATTTTCTTTGTGTTATCGTTATAGTAACTTGAAACATGCTGTGGTTACAGCAGTCTGTCTAAAACAGATCACTTAATTTCAAGCCATGTGAATTACCGACTTTATATCTGCTCCTTCTTCCTACTTTGTTTTTGATAACACAAATTGCCTCTATAAGATTGTACGTCTCCATTCTAGGCTGACTTGAACTTGCTGTGCTGGGATTACAGGAGTAGAGTGTGCCACTGTACCTGGTCTAGGCGTGCTGAGGGTCAGACTCAGGCTTTGTGTGAGCTGAAGAGCACTGCCTCCACCGAGCCACACCCAGGTCCCCTGCTGCTTCTCACACTGCTTGTCCAAGGAGTTGAGTGTGTAATTACTTTTGTGCTTTGGATTATACCAGATTTGTAAGAGATCAAGGTCCCTGTTCACTTCAAGGATCTGCAGGTTCCTCAGACTGTCTTCATGGTCATTTTCCCTTTTTGTTCTTTGAAGCCATTCGTATTGAAAACTCTGTCTTTGCTCACACTTTCTTCTGTCCATCTGGGTCTGCTGTGAAGTTTCCCATTCAGGTTTTGTATTCATCAGTTCCTGTTTCTAGCTGGTTCTCCTCCGTAGTTTCTGTCTCTTTGTTGCTGTTCTCATTTAACTCTCTCACACATTTCATTGCCTCTGTTTTTAGTAGCCTCACTGCAGTGTCATCTTTGTTACTGTTGGGATTTTGGTATCTGAAAATCAGTCATCCTCAACAGCCCACCTTGTTCTTATGGTCTGGTGTTGTACCAGCAGAGCTTCTGGAGCCCTGTAAATTAAAATAATTATTTTCTTCTTTATGCATATGGGTGTTTTGCATTCATGTATGTATATGCACTGCGTAAGTGCTGTTACCAGCTGAGCCCCCTGGACTGCAGTTTTGGATGGCTGTGAGCCAACTTGTGGGTTCTGGGAACTGAACCTGGTTCCTCCGGAAGAGTGGCAAGTGTGTTAAACCCCCGATCCATCTCTGTAGTTCCCAGAGCCTCTTTTAAAAGCAGTATCTTTGTTAATTCTTTTAGTTTCTTGGCCTGTATTTTGAACATACTCACTGCCCCCTACCTTCATTCATTTACCTTTTCCACCCGCCCACCTCTGAGTTTCCTTTTCAAACTCACCAAGTCCTGTTTGTGCTGCCCAGCTAGTCTTGGGAGTGGAGCCTGCCCTGGTGTGTGTCGACCTACCAGGGGTCACATCATTAAAGGAGGCGACTCTCCCTCTCAGCAGCTAGAGAATGCCAGTAGCTCCTCAGATAGTGGAGATGGGTGTGTGTGTCATGCCCACCTTCCCCCTTTATGCAGGTTTTATGTCTGGGAGGCACTTACACAGGTCTTGTCCATGTTGTCAGAATCACTGCTGCTTGGGTCCTCTCTTTCTGGACTTGTGGGTGTAACCCAAGTGTGATTTGCTGGTTTCTACTCTGGTGTGCACAACCCTACTCTTAGAGTGTGTGAGGGAATATTGTGCATCCCTGTGTTGTCCCGCTGGGGCATCATTTAGTGCTTGTATAAGATACTGCAGCCTCTGGCCTTTGTTTTTGGCCTCTGTTGGGTCCTTACCCTGTTCCGCCCATACTTTGATTGAAATAAGACAGAAATGACATTATCAGGATGCATGCCAGAAGGACAGAGGCTCCAGGGATTCATAACTAATTTCTCTGCTAATGGAGAAGTCAGGAGTTGGAGAACCATGCCCAGAAGAGTGGCTTTAGCTATTGAATGCTCTGATTTTAAAGCCATATTTCTGTGGGTGAAGGGGGCCTGGAGTTTGCTATTCACTATCTTCCTGATGTCTGAAATCTTTAACAATGTCATACAAACACATTGCCTCATGACCAGTTTTTTTTTTTTGTCCCAACATAATATCAAAAGCCTTCAATACTGATAAATGGAAATTGGTGTTGTTTTTAGTCTTTTCCTGGAATAATATTGTTCTTACATCATTACTTTATTGTTGATTATTTGGGCTGTACCTAAATCTTCAGCTCTGCAAAGGTTGATGAGTTTTTCTAAAAGTGGTATATTTCCCCAAAACTTGTTCCTCAGGAAATAGAGTTGCTTTATATTCTGCTCTTCAGAGTTGGGCAGCACGAGAATCCTGTCAAGGAGCTCATTGTCATCTGTCTACAGAGTGTTCGTAGGGAAACACACTAGCTTCAGAAGCCCACAGAGTATGCTGGCTTGAAATGTTTGTAAAGCAAAAGGAGTCACCTAGGGAAATCCCAGGAAAACAGAGCTGAGGATGGTGGGAGGGGGAGAATCAAAGGACTTCATCTCACACTTTCCTAGGGCTATGGCTTCGTGGTTGCAAACATGGGGGTTTCATATCTACAGCTTCTAAAGGATGTCTGTGGGTGGGAGGCAACTCAGTGGGAGAATACTGGCCAGTGTGCATGCCCCTGTGTTCAGTTCCCAGCATTGGAAAAATATAAGATACTTATAAAGAAGAGTAGAACGAGGTCAGTTGTATCATCAAGGGCTTGCTTATGCTTAAAGAGAAAAAGGAAATACCAACCATCCTGGGGTTATGCCTGGACTTGGGATGAAGTTTTAGAGTGGCAATGTTATACCATGTCTCTAAGGGCCATATTACCCAACATTAAATTATGCCAAGGTTCTTATCATGGGTGACTCAGAGCTCCGATGCCATCCACAGTCATATCCCTCACTCAGTACGACATTGAACCTTCCACTCAAACGTCATATTTTTGTGAACATTTCCTGTCTCAGTGTTCCCAAATCACTTTGCATATCCCATTAATGATGCAGGCAAGCGTGGGGAATAGTTCGGTGACCTGGAACTCTGCTTGGTTTGGGCTGTACATACACTCCTCTTCTAGTAGTAATGTACTTGACAGCCTGAGACAGCTGCACCCAGAAACCTGTTAGCACCCTAGGGGCCCAACCTGTTTGAGCTGTATACACATCCACTAGGAAGGATGGAGTAAATTTCTTCTCTTCTTCAACAGATTTTGTTCATTCATACTCCAGATGGAAAGGCCGGTCTGGCCTGAACTGGTTTGGGGTGCATCTGCAGCAGCAAGGCAAAACCGTGTCCCTGAGTAAACTTGTAGGGAGAGTCCCCTCTTTACTATCGCCTGTGCATATACATGATTAAAATCAGACACATTCTGAGACAGGACATGCACAGTAGAGAAATGACTGTCTGCCTTAATCTGCCAATCAGAACGGGGAATTACCCTTGCTATCCCCTTTAGCAATCAGATTTCTCTTTCCCTTGAACCCCATAAAGGCAGCCCCAGATAGTGACTGGAATCCTTGAGTATCTTCATTCATGTGGCTCACTGCCCTTCTTGGCAGTGTGTCTCTGATCTGTGATTAAAATTTCTTTGATACTTAAAAAAAAAAAAAAAAGGAGGGGGTGTTGCAAGTGATTTGGAGTGTGAAGATCACCTTCAGGAACGCTCCCAGGTGCTTCTGGTCACGTCTTGTCCTTCTCACTGTATCAAACCCCACATAGTGTCTCATATCTACCTATTACTCCAGTTCCAGGGGATCCAGTGTCCCTTCTCACTTCCACAGGCTCCTGCACACACGTGATGCCCTTAAACGCAGTCAGAGATACTTACATACACATAGAAATATAAAGGGGTTTTCTAGGGATGTGGCTCAGGGATCGAGTCCTTTCCTAGCTTGAGCTAAGCTCTGGTTCTATTGGGGGGGGGCGCGAGTGTGTGTGTGTGTGTGGTGTACATAGGAGTCTGATTCAGACAGAATACAGAAGGCATCAGATGGATGCATACCCAGTCTTCATGTTGGTCCTCTCAGGAACCCAGGTAGAAGGTGTGTGAGCAAGGCACTGGCTTCTCTTTGACCTCAGACCCAGGAAGTTGACCCACAGAGTATATTTCTTGTTTTCATAACACCCATTTTTATATTTTAATTGGCTTTAACCACAGTCTTCTTGATTTTCATGAGAGTATGTTGGGTTTTTCTGTAATAATGCCCATTTATCCTCTTTTTGCCTTATTGAATATGATTTTTCAATTTTTTTCTAGCTTGAAGATGATATTATTGTGAAACAAAACTATTTTAATACCATAAAAAATTTTGCACTTCAACTCTCTTCTGAAGAATGGATGATTCTAGAGTTTTCTCAGCTTGGCTTCATTGGTAAGAAAAGTGTTTGATTTATCTTCATTATAAAACAGCTGAGTCTAAGAATCCTAAACCAGTTGCTTTTCTTTTTTTAACCAAAAAAAGTTATCCTTTTTTTCCCAGAGAAATTGATTGGTGTTGAGAAAATTAAATCTCCTTACGCAAAAAGATGCACATAAACTCATGTAGACTCCGAGTCTGTGGTGTAGCATGTCCTCCAGAGAGCTGCACAGAGGCCACCATGGTGCTGGGACTTCTCTGTCACTTCCATTTCCTTTGTGCTTACGACTGGGGTTCATCCCCAAAGTACGGCACTGCCAGGTTCTTAGGGGGACTGTAACATGCAGTACTTGTTCACTGATTACTTATTGTTCACTTCTTTCTTTCATGAACTGTTTGGGGGGGGGCTTATTTTAATGCCTTTGGGGAATAATGTCCCTAAAATAGCCACGTGCTGCTAGGCAAGTGCTCTGTCCCTGAGCTGTATCCCCAGGCCTGCATACTTTTTAAAACATAAATCTCTCAAATTCTGTTATTTATTGGAACGGTCTTACTAAGATAGGAAAAAAAATAATCTGACATCAGATTATGAACCCTTTAGCAACATTGAGTGTTAAATTGTTGTTAACAGTGGGAGTCAGTGACTTCTGTTTCTACCCAGGTGACAAGTCCAGAGAACTTTTAGCTAAAGTGATACTGTTCTTAATGATGAGAGGAAAACCTCAATGTATTTAGTGCATAGAAGTCACTTCTGCAGGCATCTCGAGGATTGGTTCTTTGTGACAGCTGTTGACTGGGAATGTCTTTTCAGGAAAAATGTTCCAAGCGCCAGATCTTACTCTGATTGTGGAGTTCATCTTTATGTTTTATAAGGAGAAACCCATTGACTGGCTCTTGGACCACATTCTCTGGGTGAAAGTCTGCAACCCCGAAAAAGATGCCGTGAGTTCATTTTTCCATGCGGTCCAGGGGAGACTTTTTCTTTTCTTTTTGAGATAGGATCTCACTGTGTAGCCCCAGGTTGAAGATGCTCCTACCTCAGCTGCCTGAGTGCCTGGGAGTTTCTTCTTTGTTTCCTTTCTGAAAGTAACTTTGAGTGAAGTAGATGTTGGTTACAAGTTAAATTAGGCCATGGCAGGGAAACTGTTTCCTCTGCTCTTCTTGTGCATGGCTTCATTCTGAAGCCAATTCTAAGTTCCAGTGTTAGAAAGGTGTGTGTGTGTGTGGTGGGGGGGATACAATGATAGAGTGCTTTAAACAGCGTTCATGAGGTTTCAGTCTTCATTCATGGCAATGTATGTGTGTGCATATATAATGCACTTTTTAGTACTAGAAAATCCCTCAACCTCCCTGTTTCTAAGCATTGACTCCACTGTGTGTGGCTGAGAAACACTGGTGGGGTCTCGCGGCTTGCTAGCCTGTTAGCATTGGCTATCGATAGACAGCAGACCAACTTGTGAAGGGTGTGCTGTTTTCTTTCTGTTCTGCCTGTTGTCTTTTTTTTTCCCTTAAATTCTTTTGAGACAGTATCAGACCCCATTACACCTGAACGTGTTAAATAGCAGTGATGCCATATGCCAGCTCACAGGACTCTTGAGTGTCTGACTTGCACTTTATTATTGAATAATAAAACCAGATTCTTTTAAATGTCTAGAAACATTGTGACAGACAGAAGGCAAATCTACGAATCCGCTTCCGACCGTCCCTCTTCCAGCATGTGGGTCTGCATTCCTCACTGTCCGGGAAAATTCAGAAACTCACGGTTGGTGATTTAACATAGCCTTTCCTAGCTGTACAGGTTGCTATTTAGTGTGCAGATGAGCTTTGTGTTACATAACGACACACACATGTCCTCCTAGGATAAAGATTACATGAAACCATTGCTTCTCAAGATCCATGTGAACCCACCCGCAGAGGTCTCCACTTCCATGAAGGTGTACCAAGGACATACACTGGAGAAGACTTACATGGGCGAGGACTTCTTCTGGGCCATCACCCCCACAGCTGGAGACTACATCTTGTTTAAATTCGACAAACCAGTCAATGTAGAAAGGTCAGTGACAGTGGAATTCTGTTTTGTCTTAGAATCCAGAACTTCTGCTTAGAATGTGCTTCATTGTGTATACTTGGTGCACAGTAGGCTGGGAAAGTGGTGGTGAGTTACAAAGGTTTTGGTTATAAATTAACTTCATACAGCTGAGTATGCTGCACTGTAATAAAGTATTGTATTTGTGTGGCGAATGTTGCAAACAGGTCAGGCTGTGGTTGCGTTGTGTTTATTGAATGTTAAACAGCAAGCATGGGGGCTTCCGGCAGGGATAACACTGCTTGGGGCTACATCCTTTAGTCTTAAGTTTCCCAGTATTTTTGAGTCCGCTAGGTGGTTGCAGGTTCTGGTGAGGTTATCCTGTGCCATCCAAGAGCTCACTCTAGGGTGAGGATGTGTTCTTGAGTCTTGTACACCGAAGTCTAAGTCATGTTTTCATTCTTTGGTATGTGTTTCCAGCTATTTGTTCCATAGTGGCAATCAAGAACACCCAGGAGACATCCTGCTCAACACAACCGTGGAGGTTCTGCCCCTTAAGGTACGGCTGCTGCTACTCCTGATGTTCTAGTTTCATTTTTGTTACTGTGCTAAAAATGCCCTGACAGAAAGCAATTTAGGGAAGAGAGAGGCTAATTTTAGCTTACAATTCCAGATTATAGGTCGTCATTGTGGGGAAGTCAGGCAGGAATTTTAAATACCAAGTTACATCAACTCCACAGTCAAGAGCAGAGAGATGTGAGTGCCTGCATGCTCTCATGTATGTTTGTTTGTGCTCAGCTCAGTTTCTCCTCTCTTACATGGCTCAGGGACCTCTGCCTAGGGAATGGTTCTGCCCCCAGTGGCCTGGGTCTTCCCAGATCAATTAAGATAACTTCCTATAGATATGCTCACAGGCCAGACTAACGTAGACAGCCCCTCACTGAGGCTTTCTTCCCACTGATCTCCAGTTGTGTCAGGTTGACAAAGCCAGTTGTCACAATGGATACATAGAGGTTGTTCTTATTTATGAGGCTAACAAAAATTCTCGTGAGATGTAGAACTTCAATGGTGGGTGGTATTACTACGTTTTTTAAAACTGTTGAATACCTGATATTAATGTACCCATTTGTTTCATCAGTACTCTTCATTTTGCTTTCTACTGGAAAAAAATACAGTTGTTTGTATTAGGAAAAGGGTCCATATTTTACCACAGTTGTTTACTTTGTATATTTTGAGCTCCATGATGCCGGCTGAATATCTGAGTGCCTGATGGGGCATGGTTAATTCACTGGTCTGTAAGAAATGCCTAGATTTTATTCAAGTTAGCATGCAGTCTTCATTCTCTAACCATTGGTATATTTGCAGGCTGGGAGAGAGGTTAAAGTTTTACTAACACATTTTCAAAATTCTCAATTTTGAGATGCCATTTTCTTAACTCTGCCACAAATGCAACTTTTATATACAAAGTTAAATTCGTTTTAAAGGGGCCTAATTACCCATAATTGCTGCTTTTATTTTATTTTAGAGCGACAATTTGGAAATCAGCAAAGAAACCAAAGATAAACGATTAGAAGATGGCTATTTCAGAATAGGTAATGTCTCCTTAGTAACACGCCCCTTATTTCCTGGACTGACTCTGAAAGTCATTTCAAATTCTTGTCCGGCATTCAGCTGCTTGGCAGTTACAGACATTGTCTCACCAGTGTGCTCAAATTGTTCCTTCCATTCTGTAGACCTGACAGTTTCCAATCCCGGGTGGGCTCCCTGGCTTGTCGACTTTCTGTCACCTGTGTGGTGCTGTATCTCAGTGACAACGAGTCCACCTTCCCTGCGTCTTTCTGTCCTCCCTCCAGGGTGTGCCCTCTGTGTTGTGATGCTGGCTGACTGACAGCAGCAGCTGGGGAAGCCTTGGAGGCTGTTAGGGAGAGAGTAGCTAGAATCAGGGTTCAGCTAGGTGTCTAATTGGGAAAACCAAGAAAATAGCCTGTCCGCAGCCAGAACTGAATTTTATCAGACTTGTTGCTACTTAATTCCAAAAGCATGGCTGAAAGGAGCAGCTAGTCCACAGGCAATCATTGGACCCCTGCTGGGTGTGCTTTGGAGTGGGTATGAAGAGTGCTGTGGTCATAGGAAAGAGATGCTAGTTTTATTTCAGTGTAAAGAGCAGAAGAAAGAGCCGTTGGTAGAGAAAGAGAACCTGGGAAAGGACCACAGACCAGTATGTGGAAGGAATAGGGCCATGACCAGGGACCTCTGAAGTCCCTTCTGGTGTATGTAGTCCAGGATTTTAACTGTGACCAGATACATTGGGTTCACGTCTTGATGAGTGCAAAGCCAAGACAGGAGAGAGTGGAGACAGCGTTATGACATGTCAGCAGGCAAGGTAGTCATGGGCTTTCCAATAAAATTTCAATGGAGTTGTGTATGGGAATTGTATAGAGCAGGCAACACATCCAAGTTTCTTCTCAGTGGAGTCTTGGGAAGATATACATGGACAGAGCCCCTGCCCTAGCCCAGCCCCTGAATACCTGAAATGGTGGAGATCTTTATGACCAACTTGACCTTCGGGGCAGCAACTGATTGCTGTTACGAAAAGGTTTGAGTAGAGTGTCAGCTTGCTGACATCCTGTAGGTTATACACTGCTGATGTAAAGACACACGTCTTCACCATGCTTGCTTGTGTACAGTGGGCAGAAGTGTGCCCCTGCTAACATAGGTTGCCTCTAAGATTTTCAAGAGTACATCAGCTCATGGGACTTTGAAAGCTGAATAAAAGCAGACCAATGGGTTTAACTCGTTTATTTCCTGTCTACAGATGTCTAGAAATATTTTGCCTTTGATGGTGCTTTATGCTCATGTCCGACTCTCCAATAAGTCTTTAACAATTACTTTCTGGGCCGGGCAGTGGTGACACACGCCTTTAATCCCAGCACTCGGGAGGCAGAGGCAGGCAGATCTCTGTGAGTTCGAGACCAGCCTGGTCTACAAGAGCTAGTTCCAGGACAGGTCCAAAACCACAGAGAAACCCTATCTCCAAACACCAAAAAAAAAAAAAAAAAAACAAAAAAAAAAAAACAATTACTTTCTGTTTTGAAGGAAAATTTGAGTATGGCGTTGCAGAGGGAATCGTGGACCCTAGTCTAAATCCTATTTCAGCCTTTCGACTCTCAGTTATTCACAATTCTGCTGTTTGGGCCATTCTTAATGAGGTAAGAATATATGCAGTCTATGAAGCCACTTAACTGCTGCATTTTTTTATTGCATTTTGAAGCCTTCTGGGAATTGCGAATTAACTGCTTTTTCAAGTCTTTCATTATTTTGTGTTTCAGATTCATATTAAAAAAGTCGCCAATTGATCTAAGAAACCAACACATCCTTTCCTGTGACTCTGTCGATTAAAGATAGTTAGCACGTCCTTTTCTGTTTGGACTCGAACACTACCTCTCGTGAAGCCTACTGTAGATAAGATGATTGTCATTTCCACTCAGACAGGGGCTCTTCCCATGGATAACTGCATTCATTTGAAACTAAGCTGTCCTCCACTTTGAACTTGACACAAGCGTTTTACAATTCTGACAGCCTGTTGATGCGACTGGGGCTATTTTGGTATTATACTAATACATAAGAGTTGTACATATTGTTACATTCCTTAAAATTTGAGAAAACTAATGTTAAATACATTTTGTGGAGGGGGTACTTTTGAAGTTGATTTATTTTACTATTATAGACCCTCTTTTATAGACGATCAGGGATTATATATATATACAAATATATAAATATACATAAAGATGTTATGGAGTTAATTTATTAGAAACACTTAAGAAGTACATATTTTTGTGCAGTAAATTTTTGAATCAATACCTTTTTTTGAAGAAGCAGTTCCCTGGCTTTTTTAAGTTCTTTCTATATTTTTCTTTGGAGATGCAGACATTACAGTTCAATACCATTTTTTCCAGTGCACTGCCATTCCAGACTGGTTCCAGATGGGTTTCTTAACTTGAAGTACTTTTATAATCACAGCAATTCTGAACAAAATATTTTCAGAGGCATTTGTCATTCTTTAAAGCCAAGATTTTAAAAGACCAGTGTCCTCTTGAGGGTTATTTTCCTGTACTGTGTATGGTGTGTAGCCACAGCAAACCAGTGTGGTATCTCCAGTGTCCGGGTGGGAGGCCCTTGTCCAAGTCTCCACACACAGAGTCTTTCAGGTCTCCCCTGGTGTGGGTGATGAGACTCTTCTTTCTAATCTGTCTTTAATCACTAGTTTGACACATCGTCCCTATCCTCACTGGTCCTTTGATACCCGTGTTAGGTTTGGAGTTCAGATCATGTTTTCTAGGTGATGTTGTTATGTGAATCATAATGGGTACAATTTACAAACCGGAACTGTACTGGGGGGCTCTGGTGAAAAGTCATTGTAGCGCTTGTGTGTTTCCACAGAGTGATTGGATCTGCTGTACCATGAACTTGGAAGTAAACGCTGTGTCCACTGAGTGCTTATGCCTCCTGCCCTTGCAGTCCCACATAGACTAGTTTGCAGACGTGCTTTAGTTAGGAAGGCTAAGCAGCTGTTGTCAGTCTGCGCCGGTGACTCAGGGGTTGCAGATGTCCAGCAGCCTGGAGCTTCCTTAGTTGCCTAGTGTATGGGACACACAGCGCTAAGCAGCTATTTTGCATGCCATGTTCTGGCTAGGAACATGTAGGTAAGTACTACTGTGCTGTATGTCAAGGCCCAGCTGGTTTTTCTTGGGATTTTGTAAATTTCCTCCAACTTTTTTTCTTTTCTGATTTCCTAAGCCTGTTTCCTAAGACATAAGCAAATCCTTTGAATAGAGGCCCCTTTTCATTTTAAAATTTGAGCACTATCTTCACACAGATGGTGAGACCATGCAGATGGGTGCAGGGGCCCCCTTAGGGCTCTGGTTTCTCAATGGTTGTGACTTTTAAGGGAGGCTGTGCTTTGATAATCTAATAGGAGACAAACACAACACCTGCCACCATTTGAATGGCCGCTGCAGGGTCTTTGTGCACACACTCTCGTTCAAGCCCCTCATGGCTCCTGTTACCTAGGGACCAACAGCCAAGTCTTTTCCTTCATCCAGGGACTCTCTCCTTTTTCCCTGCGAGCTTGTTCCCAGTGCCTAGAACATGCGTGCACCTTGGCAGGCTCTATTGGCATCTGGGTGAGTCATTTTTCTCTTAGCTGTGTTTGCCTGCCATCTTTGCCATGCATGGGCACACACACACACACCCCTCAGTGTCTAGTTTTTGTTTGTGGTGTGTGTTCTCTGGCACACTTCCATGCTCTGGAGGCCAGCTCTCCTCCCGTCTTCCACCATAGCAGGTGCTTCCTGGACCATCCTTTCTGCCCAGGACAGCCAGCCCTAGACAATCGAAGCTGATGTGCTTTCCCCAAGCAAGAAGTGTTAGTAGGAGCCCTGGAGGCCACCAACCCACTTTCCCCTGAACAGTGAATAGAAAAAGTGCCAAATGCAATACGAATCATATCTACAGAATAGGCCGTGGTTGGCATCTGGTGTGTAGTTCATGTAAGCTAGACTCTAGAGTAGCCCTGGCCTCTACAGAAGCCAGAGCACACGGCAGCTGTTAAGATGGAAAGTCGAGTTCTGTGCCCACAAGCTTGGTGGGCAGATGTGACTAGCAGCCTCCATATTGGATCTGAGAAATATGGGACACTGACATCACTGTAGGAGTGTCAAGTGTAAATACAAACATTCTAGAAAGAAGGAGTAATGCATCCTGCTACTGTGATTGACAGCAGACCTGTGGGTTCATCACAGTGCAGGTAAATGTGTGTATTTTGGTGAGAAGGCCAAGATGGCCTGGCTGTATGCGACTGTCAGCATTCTTCCCAGCATGCATTGTATCAGTGCCCTCAAGTGGTATGTTTGGTTAAAAAGTGTGAGAAAGAGTGAATGCAGGATGGGTAGGCTAGATGTGTACATGTGTGTGCATCCACTAGGGTGTGTTTGAAGAAAGGTTCTCTGTGGTTTTTGAAATCGTTGGTTTCATGTAAAAGATGAGGTGTGCTTGTTTCAAAAAGCTGTCAGGAAAGCAGCAGACTAGAGTTCTGTTTTAGTCTTTCATAATGACAAAGTTCTCAACAGTACTGCCCTCAGTGAAAAGCTTGGCTGTGTGGAAGGAGTGTGTTCAGGTTATCCCAGTTAATAGTGTGTATCTGTGGTATGCAGGATTCTAAGAATGCACCCTCCTGTGACATCCTCCGCTTCTCAGTGTGATGAGAACTGTGACCATGATCCAGGGTCATGTCTCGTTACTTACCTGGAGGGAGACTATCTGTGGGTGACCAGTGCAATCTTGTGAGCCATGTCAGGCTGGTAGGAGAGACAAAAGCAGCAACAGAACTCTGAAACACCATCGCTGGCCTAAGTGTCTGCAGGTGGCCTGCCTCAATGACCGGCTGGGGAAGTTGGACCTGCAGTCCTTGTGCCCCAGGACAGCTTCACCCCCACATGCACCCCAGGCTTGGAGATGGACATCGTCAGGAGGGAGGCCAGCCTGGCAAGCGCCTTCACAGCAGCTTTGCAAGGGGGGTGCTACACAGACAGCTCGGGTAAGGCAGACTTCTGAGCTGCTGAGCGGTGAGGTAGTACATGTGGAGTGTGTAATAAGCAACAGAAAAAGAAGACAGTTCTGAGACGCCTTCACATTTGATTGCTTGCAGGTTACTTTTTATTTAGTTTTTTTCGAGGCAAGGGTTTCTCTATAGCTTTGGAGCCTGTCCTGCAACTAGCTCTTGTAGACCAGGCTGGCCTTGAACTCAGAGATCCTCCTGCCTCTGATTCCCGAGTTTAAAGGTTTAAAGGTGTGCACCACCACTGCCTGAATTGCTTCTTTTTATTTAAGGACAGGGTCTCACCTTGCACCCCAGGGTGATCTTGAACTTCTCTCCTCCCAGTGCTGATGTGAGTCACCATGCCCAGCTTGTTGACATTTTTGTTTTGATCGACATCCAGAATAAACTCATTCCTGGGTCTCAGCTAGAATGTTCTGTGCCAGAGACCCCCGTCTCCACTACAAGGTAGAGTTTGGTATCATCTGTGTTCTGTAAAACAGCTGCTAGGATGAGACTGTAGGTGTGGGGTCGATGAGGCTAGATCACACCTTAAGGGCCTGCGGATGTACTTGAAAGAATGATGAACCGCGGTATTTACATCAGATTGAAGAGAGGAAAACATCTGCCTCTGTTGACTCACAGGCATGTCCGCCCTTCTGACACTGCAGCATGGCGCTGTCATCTCCAGAGGACACACTCAAGAGCCACACAGTTCAGTTACACAAACAGTTCTGTGCTGTGCCATTCATTGTGATCTGGGCCACAGGCTGAACATACCTGCTAGCACTTAGGCTATAAATGTAATTCTTTAAAGCCATTTAGTTCAATAGCTAGCACAGCACAAGTCCTATATGTACCAAGGTTTTGTATTTAGATGCTTTCCAAAATCCCTCTGATTCCAAGGCATTAATTGCTAACGAAGTTTATTTTGGTGCACTCACTTGTGCTTTTATTTATTTTACCATACTGCCATAGCCTTGAAGGAAAGGAGTTTGGAGGTTAAAGCACTGTCAGGTCTCAAGGCCCTGGGCTATCATCATCTTCATATGGTAAGGGATCTGAAGTCCCGGCTCAGTCCTTTTGTAGAAAAGGGCATTCTCAAGCTATGTAGCAACATTTATAGCTTGTAAAATCCAAACTTTGTTATGAGGATTTAAATGATTAATCTTAAGATATATGCTATGCTAAATATGCTCAATTTAATGCATGTGAACATTCAATGCTAAAAAGATGACCAGTCTTTTAAAAAGAAAAACCAAGGATTTTGGTACCCATACCCCTGTACCACCACTAGCTAAATGAAGTCTTGTTTCTGAAATGTTCCCTTTCCCGTTTTTGCACTACCTAAAGGGCTCCTGCAAGAACAAACAGCATGTGACCCTGAGTGTAGAATATCAATAACCTGAGTTCGAGGGAGGGGGAAGCATGGTAGAATATGCACAGCCGGGTCAACTGTTCTGAACAGGCTTGTTCGTTGTGGGGACGGCTGCTCCTAGTGCAGCTGAACTGGTAATTAGCTCTTGGTCCCAGAATGAAAGCATGGGGTTCCTTTAGCTTGCTTAGCATTCTGCTGTGTTTGCTCTAGCTTGGTGAAAACTTCCTGAACACGCAATGCCTGAGCCATACAAAGGGCTGCTGGGAGAGTACTGTCCGGAGCGCTGCCAGCAGAGTCTTCCCAGTGTAGAGGTCTCAGTCATGTTTCCCCGGGGGGAGGGAAAACCGCTCACCTGGAGCACCTCTTCCAGAAAGGCTGTCTTTGCATTGGGGGAAGTTTCTCAGAGCAGCCCAGGGAATCTCTCTGCTAGGCTGTACCAGGTTTTTTTTTTCCCTTCTCCTCCTTAAATGTATTATACATACTTTGCTCAGTGTCTTCATGGGTTGAACAGTTAATAGATGCAGTAATATTTGAGGTACCTGTTGGATTTTTAAAGGCAGATTATTTATTTTCAAGTTTGCTGCTATAATTGAAACCTAATGTCCTGTTGACTGTGCCTTTCATAACTGTCTCTGTGCTATAACTGTCCATGTGTATTTGAAATAAAGAAGTTTGAAAAGCCATGTTGAAGCAAGATTCCTTCTAATAAAAATGGCTCAAACCAAATGAATCGATAGAATTTTTTTAGTGCTATTACTATGGTGTTTACCTGTTTTTCAACTAGTTGCTGGTTCCTCTGGAATCTTTAAAAGGGAAACATGCCATCCTGGTAAGACAGTGGCTGTCATCTATACAGGTACTCACTGCTTATATACACAGACAGTTCTCAAAAGACAGGGGCTCCTGTGTGAGCCACACTGCGGGCAGAGTAAGTCTGTACATCTTGCCAGCAACAAGATAGTGTGTGACATCTACCCCTTATTTATGCCCTTGATATTTTATATATAGCTTTGGGTTAAATAATTAAACAATTAGTTTTAAAATATTAGAAATGTACATTTAATTAGTTTTCAGGAATGGTCTGGACAAGTGTTAGTATCACCTCAAATTTGTAAACTTTACATCTTTAAGATATCTACAAAGATAATTTACATACAGACTTTACCAGGAGATCCCTTCAACACCAGACAGTTCAGCTGCAGTGCTGTCGTCACCTTTCATTTCACTCTGTACTTGTAGAAGGAACACAGCATGTGGGTAAAGTTCCACCCCAGTGCCAGCGACAGTCCGTACAGCACAACGAGAGGTGCGAATGGATAGAGCAGGATCACTGTCTTTTTCAAAAACGGCAGTGCTGGAACAGAAACAGGATAGGAGTGGCCGATGAACATGCTCAAAGAAAAGCTCTTCAACACCCGGGGCCAAAGAAGGAGCACACTGCATAGGACCACGATGCTGCTTGCAGAACTACAGACACATCTGAGCAAAGGGGCCTTCCTAATGCTGCAGCCCTTTAATAATTATTTCATTGCTACTTTATTAACTAATTTTGCTGTTATAAATGTCTGATATGGAGGATATCTGATGGGGGTCATAACCCATGAGAACTGCTGATCTAGACAGATGCCTTAGGAGTCTAAGTTAGCATGCAAAGTAATGGATCTCACTATGTCATTTTCATACACAGACTGATAGCACATAGAACAAAACCACTTTTAGGCATTGGAGAGTTTCCACTGCAAAAGCAACACACCTCAGATTAAGGTGGAATCAATGATTCAACCTCCGGGGAAGAACAAAGGCACTCTACTGTAAACACTAAAGATTTAAGATTTATCTATCTACATATATATAGTATTCTGCCTGCATGCATACCAACACCAAATCTCAAATGGTTATGAGCCACCTTGTAGTTGCTGGGAACTGAACTCAGTTCCCCACGTACACTGAGCCAGGCAGTTCTTGGACACTGTGTACTCAACAGCTGTAAGAAGGCACTAAGGGACCAGTGCTTCAGTGCCATGGATTACAATACTTTCAAGATGTGAAAATTCAGTAGAAAAACCCTAATACCCCAAACAAGGCAAGTGGAAGAGTAAGTGATCCCTGGGAAACTGGTAATCGGGTGAGGAACAAAGCCGTTTATACTAAGGTCCCAGTCATCCAAAGCCGTTTATACTAAGGTCCCAGTCATCCAAAGAGCAAAGAAGAGAAACAAACCACACTGTGGGTGGTTCTGAGCTCAATAGTAAGATTTCTAGACTTTAGCAATGGGGATTTAAGGGTTGAACACAGGACCTTGACATAGTAGGCAGGTTTTCTATTGAGCTACACTCATTCCCAGACTAAGTATTCTTCATTCACATTAGGAAAAGTAATGGAGAAGATTTAGCAGTAAGTTTGCAAATATGGTCTGGGATCAGCAGATCCCAGGATCATCCACAGAACTGAAGGTTTGTAACCATGAGCCCATGGTTAATAACAAGGAGCCTGAATCCACACCAGGAAAGAAAATGGTCAGGGACTTCCACCTGTAACTTGGAAATGAGATGAAAGTTGTAACAAATGTTACATGGCACTCTGCTTGTGGACAGTGGGCAGGCTCTAAGGTGAGTGTACTTGTGAAATTATGAAGGTCATATGCAGTCTGACAGGTCCCTGTAAATCCACTGCTAACGTCTATGCTCTTTCCTGTTACACTCAAACCACCAAAACTTACCACTGTATCCCAGGAAGGTCACATAGATATAATAGCCAACAGCAATCAACCATAAAGTATTTCCAACTAAGTATCCAATAAATGTATCTGTGAGGATAACATCTGCCAGAAAAAAATGCAAATAGTGAGTCTCTTCACACAGTGAGAACATCGAGAACATTTGAGAAAGATACTCACGGTTGATGAAAAAGAGCTGGATAAAATGCAAAATGACTAGGAGTGGATAAAATGCATTCAGATGCACATCAAAGGCGTAGCCCCACTCCACATCATAGTCTCTGCTCTGCCGCTTCACTAGATACTTGTTGGAGATGAACCTGAAGAGCAAAATGAAAACTTCTTACACAATGTACTAGTTCTCAGTACCAACCACCTTCTGGGTCCCACGTTACCAGGTCTAGAGATGGAGCAATGAGACGGGCCAATGTCGCTCTCTAGTGGGAGAAGCCTGACGTGGTACTATGGAGAATGGCAGAGGTGCAAAGCTGGGGTGTAGGTAAGGAAGCAAGGCTCTGATGGTGCAGGCACAGCAGAAGACTTGTGTGTGCCTGTAAGAAGGAAGGACTGGAGCAGGTAGCTAGTCGAGGAAACGCAGTCAGCTCTTCAGGAGCCTGTGGCTACTTTGTAACTTTTCAATCTTTTACTCATGGTAGAAGCCAGGGCCAAGATACAAGACATGTCAGAAATGTTTTGATAGGGTCTCCTTGGTGGCCAATGGAGAGTAGACTCCACAGATGAGAGGACAAAAGCCTGTCACTTGAGTCACCTAACAGTGAAGGTGATGAGATGTGCCCGAAAGTCACAACAGTTTTGCCCTGAGCAAGTAGGAAGACAGCAGCACTATCAGCCAAGGACGGCTGGTGGTGCCAAAGCAGTTCTGAGAATGAAGGGGAGGCAAGGTTTGTGATTACCTCTACCACACGTACTTAATTACAACACGAGCTAAGATGTACTTAACGCCAGCAGTTCAGTGTAGAAGATACCGAAAGCCATGGGCCTAAATGACATCACCAGAATCATGACATCCAAGACAACCACTCAACAGAAAACCCAGGGCCAAGACTCACATCATCTGCCTTTACCATTAAAAGTGAGGGAAACAGGAGGAGACGGGAAAGGGGCTGACTAGCGGTACATCCAGAGAACAGTACAGATGCATGTGTCTATAGCTGTTCTACAAATTGGCCTACCAAAAAACTATCGTATTCAGATCTTCAATGAAAAGGTCTATTCTATAAATATCTGTGAACATGTCCTTTTTTTACATTAATGGGTTGTAAATATGAGTTTTTAATTATAATGTACATTTATTGTTGGGGAATATTGTCAGGTGTGTTTTGTTTATGCTGGATTTGATTAACTGTGAAGCTGTGATTCGTTACCTGTCTAAAACACCTGATGGTTCTAATAAAGAGATGAACGGCCAATGGAGAGGCAAAAGCAAGGATACGCGGGGCTAGTCGGCAGAGAGTATAAAAGGAGAACAAGAACAAAGAAAGGAGGACATCAGGGGCCAGCCACCCAGGTACACAGCAAGCCACTGAAAAAGAAGAAACATATACAGAAAGAGAGATAAAAGCCCAGAGGCAAAAGGTAGACAGGTTAATAAGTTAAGAAAAGCTGGCTAGTAATGAGAAAAGCTAAGGCAGGGCATTCATAACTAAGAATAAGCCTCTGTATGTGATTTACTTGGGAGCTGTGTGGCAGCCCCCGCCAAAAGCCAAAAGAATAAAATGTTACACAACATTTTATGGGTGGGGGGAGGAGGTGCCATAGTAGCATGAAGTCCCAGAACAACTTTCTGGAGTTAATTCTTAACATGAATCCTGGGGATTAAACTGCGCAAGCGCCTTTAACTGCTGAGTCTACGTCACTGTATTTTAATTCAATTTAATGTCTTAATATTGAATACAGACAACAGGGTCGGGTTGTTCCAGCACACAGGAGATGAAAGCAGGACAATTTTTGGTGTAAAGCCAGCTTGGGATACATGCTAAGTTCTGGGCTAGCCTATGGTGTAAGACCCTAACTTATACAGCACAACCAGACAAACACACTGAAGAAAGTATGGCAGAATGTGATAAACAGTCTATACTTAGTTTTATCAAAAAGCCAAAAAAAATAGTGCTTCACTGTACAAACTGTAACTTACCAAATACTGTTTTAGCCAAGAATATGTGCTGTTCAATTTTACAAAATCCATGAAACAAGCCCGGAAAGAAAAGATTTAAAAAAGAAAAAAACAACACCTCTTGACCTCAGAGTAACAGGAAATGGAATCTCGGATACCAGATGCTAAGAAAGTAGGGGTGATGCTGTCAAAATAGGAGTTGTTCTGAAGCTCACAGCAGTGGGGCTAGACGGTTTATAAGAGAAGACTTAAAGGTTCCCAACACCAATAAACTGTAAATGGGATGGAAACTCTTACTTTGATTTGATCATTACTCATTATATATAGACATACATACATACACATTGTTATCACATGGAACTTCATAAATTCTAAAATTTAAAAATAATTATGAATGATAAAGGAACTTGGGGTAGTATGCATGCAGTTCATTCCTCGGTTCTTTTGTGTAATCACTACTCTCCTGTTGCACCTCCACGAACCCCTTAAACAGGACAGACACTCCTTTCTAGAGAATTCTAAGGCAACTAACTGGCTGCTCTCTCCCACCTCCAAGATGGCCACATGCCAGGCCTGACTGCCATCTGTAAGTTCCATCTGCCTTGTGTCACCACCACCTCCAGGACACAGCCCAGCAGCTCCCTGACCCAGCATGGCCAACAGAACACTTCACCAGCATTCAACACACAGTCCCAAGCCCTGACTCCCTAGCCACCACATCCTGTTACCACAGGAAGCTCTAAACTCTTCTTTTCATCCTACCACCACACTGTTCTGGGCGTCCCCTTCTCCCGAGAGCCCCTGTGAGTGTACCCGGTGTCCCTACTTCTCTACTTCTTCCCTGCCATGATGAAGACATTTTCGACAGTGTGAACGGATTTTCTTCATTCTTAGCCTCCTAGCTCTCCATTTCTCTTCTACCCTCCAACCCACACTTGCAGACGTGAACACAAAAGCCTATTTTTTTACTGAGTTTCATAAAAGCTATTTTGTAAGTCTTATTTCTTCATAGCCATTTAGTATCACCTGTCCCCAGACCTACCACAATGCTGCACATAACTATGGTAACTATGGCTGGGCACTTGCATATCCTGGAACCAGGAATCAACTGTTTCATAGCTCCCCTAAAACATGGCCTTATGTTGGTTCCTATGGCACTTCTGCAATGGTTTTTTTTCTTTTGTGGGGGGAGGTGGGGTGTGTCATTGTTTCTACTTCTATCTCCTCACAGGTTTATGATACCTGTCTTCTCACAAACAGCACAGCGAGTCCTTTTCTACCTGATCAAACTATGGGAGACAGGAACCAAAGGTAATCACCTGCAGGCTGCCTTGGTGTTTGTGGCCATCCAGAATCACTGCACTCATAGTAGAACACTTGTAATAAACTGTTCTTAGAAGCTTTATATATTTGCCCCATAAGTTGCTTGACAATGAGTATCTGATTTATAGAAGCAGTATTAATCTTGGGCCAGGGATTAGAAATTAAGAGTAATGATACACAATAGTATTAACTATCCAGTACCCATAAAACCAATAGCCACAAAGGAAAATAAAAGGTTGCTCTCCAGTTACAGCCTTGGCATTTTGTTTAAAATAGTAATAGCTACCATATACTAAACAAATCTAGGTTCCAAGGGTCTATTACCCCGCATCCTTAACAACATCTAGTGAGACAATCAACTCCCATTTATAGAGGACACTAAGAAATGACCGACAGCAGGTGGACCTCAGTCTGAGAGTGAAACGGCCCTCCAAGTTTTCTCTGCTTCCTCCTCAATCTTTCCCTCCATCTAGTCCACTTCTTCCACCCACTACCAGCTGCCCAGGAAGCCAACCACACAGGAGCATTCTCTGTGAGAGAAGTGAGAAGCTGAACACCAAACTAATGTTGCTACAAAACCATTTCAAACACAAATGACTTAATGCCAAAGATCAAAGGAAAAGTCCAAGGATAACCCTCCAGATGTGGCTGGAAGTGATCTCCACTGACCAATGCAGACCGCAGCTAACCAGACACAGCAGAATCATAAATACTATCTTGAAAAATCAGGATGGAACACTGGGATTTGCTACATTGACAATAAGCACCCATTCAAATATTTCCTGGTCTAGCACAGACACAGGAGACCAGGTTACAATAACCTTGGCAGTCAATATGGCCACTTCAGCTACTCTATTTGAACTTAATTTCCATTAGCTACTACAAGTCTGAAGTAAACAAGCAGAGGCCCAACAGTGTATAGCAAAATCAAGTTATGGTACTTACCACATCAAAGTTGATATCAGAAGGCCAACACCTACACAATCTATGAATACAACCCACAGGAGCAGCTTTATTGTCTCAAAAAATCCCATGTCCAGCACAAAGCCAAATCCTATGGTGGACACTGAAATAAAAGTTACAAGAGTAACTGCTAGGCTCTAGGGTACAAGAAATAGTCCCTGGCATCCATATGCCCAAAATGTGGGGGTGGTATATGGACAATGAAATAAAACCCTCACGATTTATTATACGCAACTCATAGAGGAATAAATGCCACCTTTGAGTGCAGGTAAGGAACTGGATTAACGGGCTAGTTTAACATGACACAGCGGGTATTCAGAACAAAGCCTGTTCAGAAGGCACACAACTTATTTGAAAACCCAGTTAAATGTAAAAAGCACCTACATACTTCAGTACCCTAGAGCTGACTTGATGTACAGGAGAACTTGAAGGTGGTTTTAAGTTCAAATCAGTACAGTACCCTGACCCAGAATGCTGGGGTGTAGCTCTGTGGAGATCACTTGCCTGGTATGTTTAAGTCCCCGGTTTCTATCCCTAGTCCTACCGACACCCTCTTCTCCCCCTGCCAGAAATAAAAACCACTACAATCTCCCAGCCTCACAGATTGGGCCCACCGTGAAACATAATTTCCCACCCCAACACTCCTTTGCACACAGTTGGGTATAGGCTCACAGTAGTTTTTGTTTGTTTGTGTTTTTAAAGTCAGTGAGTGTGGTGGTAGCATAGTCCTGTAATGCCAGCACTCGAGGCTCAGTTAAGAGGATCCTGAGTTCAACGCCAGCCTGGCCTTTGCATCTAGACCCTGTCTCAAGAAGAAATAAACAGCAACGATATGTAATCCTCTGCCCCACTTTTCAGTGTCCCAACACAGTAGTTAACTCTGGCCTGTGTGAGTCACAGCCTCATCAGGAAGAACATTACTTTCTTTCCAGCCAGCTTTTTAATGTTTCGGGGGGGGGGGGGGGGAGAGGAAAAGCTTCAAATGCCCCCAAATTCTAACCCACAATACATTATGAAAAAATATACTCCACATAAAATACACCCATTTGTTTCTCAACTCCACTGCTTGGAAACTAACACATACTTACCACAGAGCCAGACACTTAAGAGGACCAAGAAAGCAGGGTCATCTCTGGCCCACTGATCCTTTGTTTGCTTCCGATAATGGAAGTTCCTATAAACCCTCTGTGGGGACGTGAACAGGTAGAGCATCTGCCATGCGGCAAACTCAAAGTCCATCTGGCGAAATCGGAAAAGCCTTCTGAGGTACTTGTAGCGCTTGGCTCCAGCCGTGTGTCTCGCTGCATCCCTGGAATTCAAGACTCCATTCCCCTGCATCGAAGAACCCACGGAAGTACTTGGCAGCATCTTCCTGAATGGAATAAGAACATGTCTCTTAGATGTAACCTTAAGAACCGTCTGTCCGCTAGCACTCCTCTCCAGCATTTTTCTCCTGCTACCTTCAGGAAGGATTAGGGGCCAGAAGCCACGGAATTGGCTCGGGGCTTCTCTAGGGGCTGGCGAGCGTTAACTGCACTTCCCTCAACACGCTCTTCCCCATCACCTGAAACCATTTATCTAGAGTCCGTGGGTTTTCACCCTTCACCTCCATCAAGCCTCGACAGCTGTAGTAGTTAATTGTGGAAAGTAAAGTGGAGGACGCGGGAAAAGCAGCACAGGGATGGGAAATGACCTCCTTACGGAGACAGGACAAAGACTGGAACTCTGACTCAAAATTCCATGTTCTCATTGGCCAGAATTTAAGATAAAACAGCAGCAGCAGCAACAACAAAAAACGTCGTTTAAGCCGAAAGCAATGTTATTGAAGAGGTAAAACAACAGCTTATTCGTACAAGTTCACCAGCGGCAGTCAGCAAGCTTCTGGTTATTCAGAATGAGACATTAAAAAAAAAAAAAGCAAATTCCAGCCTTTGGTGCTTTTACTCCCACAATAGCTGGTAGGATGAATAACAGCATGGAGGGGCCAGTCCAACTAGTCCGAAGCTAAATGACGCTGGTCACCGCCCCACCTTCGGCCCAGCCTCTGCTGCCACAGGTGCCAGCACACCTCGGTGCCCCGCCCCGCCAGCAGCTCTCCATTACCCCAAGCCTGCAGGTCCGCAGTCAAGTTAAAATACAGACCTCCCTGTGACATTCGAGTTAAGAGCAAGCAATGTAAAGGTTTCAGGGTACGTGTCTCCTGTGCAAAACTCCAGACCAGCTTAGAATAAAAAAAAGGCCCTATTTCTCCGATTTCAACGTCAAGGGGCGTCTTTGGTGTTACTCACTGCCAGCGGAAGGCTCCAACTGCCGGCCGCCAAGACGCAGCTGCCCGTGGAAACGGCCGTCTGGAAGAATGACACCCCGCTCACACACAGCAGGCCTCACCTGAAGGCCCGTGCCGCCGAGCCCTGGGCCCAGGACTACCGCCACCTTCGCCCGGCAGCCGAGCCCAGCCACCGCCGGGGCTACTTCCCCTACCGCTACGTAGCCCGCACTTGCGGCGCCCCGTATTGACGTCACGGTCACACGCTTCCGCCGCGCATGCGCAGACGCTCAAGAAGCGCTGTTTTTATGGCGGACCCGCCGGAAGTGGTTGCGGATGTCTCTGACCCTCCCGACCCTGTCCGTGGGCGTGGCTCGCGCCCGTCCGGGCGGCCGCCGGTGGCTGAAGACGGTGCTCCGGCGTCGTGAGGCCGGCGGGCGCAGCCATGCCCCGGTATTACGAGGACAAGGTGGAGGGCGGTGCGTGCGCGGGCGTGAAGGAGGACCTGGGCGCGTGTCTGCTGCAGTCGGCCTGTGTGCTCCAGGTAGCGCGTCCGGGGAAAGAGCTCGGCGACGGCGGGCTGCCTGTTGGCCTGCGGGGGCGGTCGGGTCAGGGGTGGAGGTGGCAGCCTTAGCCGCGGATGGATTAGACTTCGGCCAGATCTCTTGACCTCTCGGCCTCAGTTCTCGCTGGTGTTTAATGGGAGATCACTGACGCACCTCCCCATCTCAGGTTTTTGTAAACATGCAGCCATCTCAGTTCAAGCGGTTCCCGAGTGCTGGCACTCTGCTCAAATTTGGACACTCGCCACCAGAGATTCCCACTCCACGGGAAGCAGGCCTGTTCCTGCACTGTATGGCTACTTGATCTGTGGTGGAGATTTTTGATTCCGTGGCTTCTAGAGTATGGAAGTCAATGTGATCTATGACGTGCCATAGTTTCTTCTTGCCGATCTTTAGCCAGTCTTAAAAAACGTACAGTATTGCATTCTGGGAGGAATTCAGCATAAGCCTGTATTTTTTTTGTGCCGCCATGGGAGACAATCGAGGAACTAGAGGGGCTCGGGAAACTCGGGGTAGTAAGTATGAACTCAGGGGATAAGAATGTAAATTCCAGTCGGGGCTAGTGAGAAGAGGGTGGGGGTGGGAGAGGGTTCAGAACCAATTTTGAGATAGACTTCTTAAGGTTTTATGACTTCTGGGTGGCCAGAAAAGTTGGAACTGCCAGAGGGGACTCGCGGAGGTTTTCCGTGTGGCTCCATCAACAGAACACTTACTGTTCTTCACCTCAGGAGAGCATAGCCCTCTTGTCCAGACTCCTCGCTCTAGCCCCTTCACCTGATTATTTGAGATAAGGTGTGTCGCTGAACCTGACTGGCTAGGCTACCAGATCTGCTCCGTCCCCACTGTGCAGCCATGGGATTATAGGCTCCTGCCACCACGCCCAGCTTTTTCTGTGGGTGTTGAGCTGGAGACCTCATACACAGCAAGCACGTCATTCACTTAGCTATTTCTCCAGCTCCTCATTAGCGTTAATACAGTGTTTAGTACCAACCCTAAAAGGGTCTCATTTTAAGGCATCAATTTGTAGTTGTCATCTGCGGAAAGGCTTATATGAACATTGATGATGTGTTCTAAAAATCTCAGACTCTGGGGGCCGGGAAGACAGATGACTCAGTGGTTAAGAGCACTTGTTGCTCTTACAGAGGACCTGGGTTTGGTTCCTGGCACCCATATGGTGGTGCATAATCATCTATAACTCCAGTTCCAGGGGCTCTGGTACCCTCTTCTGTCCTCCATGGTACCAGGTCTGCACGTGGTGCCCATTTGTACATACAGGTAAAGACTCATACAGATAAAATTTAAAAACTAACTCTGAGTACTCAGTTATTTAATAATCTTTACATTTGTTTTTCTTCACCAAGAATATTAAAAAAGGAATTAGGAACTTGCTTAAATTAACTTTTCTAAAAAGAGCTTCTTCGAGAAGAATAGTTGTCTTGTGCGTTGTGGGACAAATTTCCCAGGCGTTGACATTGGTCTCTGTGTCACAGGAAGGGAAGTCTCCACGGCAGTGTTTGAAGGAAGGGCACTGCAGAGCCCTGCAGTATTCGTTTTTTGAGTGTAAAAGATCAATGGTAAGTGATTAACTGTTTTGAAAAGCTTAGGTTAACTGTATAGAATTAAATGTAAATGCTTTAATAGTCATAAATTGGTTGTTGTGATAAGGTTTGGATAATAGTTTTTGTGCTCCAGTGATAAAGGTGAGACAGCATTCACAAAACTCCCCAACTTTGTTAGCCTCCAGGGCTGCTGACCCTCACAGTTTTCTGAAAGTGTGAGGGTAAAGTCTTAGCAAGTATAAATGGGAGGAGTGGACAGCCAGAGGCATGAATTCTGTCTTTTGACAGTTACAAGCCGGGAAGGCTGAGGACTATGTTTGCACTTGTGCCATATGTGACCAGGAGAAAGTGTCAATGTTTGTATTGGACATGCATCACTAGTCCCTGGGACTCTACTTGAAAGATCTACAGAGATCTTTTCATGGGAAAAGTATGAAGTCAGAAATGTGAGCTTCCCTGGAAAGAAGGCACATGGGTGGGCTTGAGCCTGTGTTTGTTTGCTGGCTTTGGGACTATATGAGAGCTCTTCCGTTCTGTTCATGAAGAAGCAGAGGGCACAGAGGTTCAACATGCAGGAGACCAAAACCCTGGGAGGGAGATGCCACCTGGCCATGGTGCTTTTCTCAAGTAGCAGAACTTCACCGTTCTTCTGCCATTTATGGCAGCTTCCCTGTGTAGTTTTCCTGCCTCCCTCCTTGAGTAGTGTTGTCAGCTGTGTGAAATGCAAGCCTCTAGGCTTGTGTGGAATTTGAAAGTCTGTTCCAGGCATTGGGAAGGCACAGTGATTAGTAAAAGAGATGCTCCTCTGTACCATCGTATCAGACAACAGCAGACTCCTCACCCA